GTACCCCACTCCTGCCCGTACCCCACCCCTGCCCGTACCCCGATCTTTGCCCGTTCCCCATCCCTGCCCGTACCCCATCCCTGCCTGCCCGGTTCCCATGGCGACGCTCGCTCATCCCGCTCCGACCACCCTGAAAACCGGGGAAGAATCCTCCCGGTCCCCTCGTGATTCACCCCCGATCCCGGGCCTGGGGGCTGCCCCGTGTCCCCCCCCCGCAGCGGGGACCCCCCATCCCGCCCCTCTCCGTCCCCATTTTACCGTGGCTACCGGAGCTCGGGGTCCCTCGTCGCGGTTCCCGCGGCCCCGGCGATGGGGCTGTGGGGGACAGCGGCCCGTGGCCGCCATCCCGGCCTGCCGCCGGTGAGGCGGGGGGGCGGGGGGTGATGTGGAGGGTCCCCCCCCTCCCGCAGCGCTATTTTTGGCAGCGGGGGGGGGCTGGAGCAGGATGAATCACCCACGGCGCATCCAGAGCCCGGCCCTGCGTGGGAGCGAGGGTACCGGCACTGCCCGGTGTGCCCCGGTGTGCCCGGTGTGCCCCAGCCCCGGGGGGCAGGGAGGGAGCTCACCCCAAATCCTCTGCCCCGCGGCTCCACGGCGTGCCCAGAGCTCCCCTGAGCCCCCAGCCCCCCTGTTTTATTCCCCCCCACCCCCATTTTATTCCCATTTAATTCCCATTTTATTCCCATTATTTATTCCCATTATTTATTCCCATTATTTATTCCCATTATTTATTCCCATTTTTTTATCCCCTCCATTTTATCCTCCCTATTTTATTCCATTATTTATTTTCCCCACTATTTATTCCCACTTTTTCTCCGCCCGCATTTTATTCCTCCCATTTTTCATTCCCATTTCATTCTCGTGCCATCATCCATCCCTCCCCATGTGTGTCCCACGGGTGTCCCCAGGGTGGGTGTCCCCAAAGACAATGTCCCCAAATCCCCCAAAGTGTCCCCAAATCCCCCAAAATCTCCCCCAGAACGTCCCCAAATCCCCCCGTGCCCCCGCAGACATCGAGCGCTACTCGGACAAGTACCAGCTCTCCAACCCCGTGGACAGCGCCATCGACTGGAGCCCAGGTGGGGGCACCCGGGGGTGGCACAGAGGGGTCCTGGGGGGCACGTGGGGTTTTTTGGGGTCTCCCCCAACCCCTCATTTTGCCCCATTTTTCCCCCCCAGACTGGAGGCGGCTCCCGCGGGAGTTGAAGATCCGCGTGCGGCGGCAGCGGAAAGGCCGTGAGTGACCCCCCTGCCCCCCCCGGGGGTCCCCATTGTCCCCTGGGGGGGTGACAGTGCCCCGGGGGGGTGACAGTGCCCCGGGGGGGGTGACAGTCCCCTGTGCCCCCCAGGACCCGCTGCCCCCGTCCCCAAGAAGCCGGTGGCACTGGACAAGGAGGAGGCCATCAAGAAGCTGGAGGTGGGGAGGTGAAATTTGGGGGTGGCACCATGGGGGGATTTGGGATTTTGGGTTTTGGGATTTGGGGTTTGGGAT